GTGGGGAGAGAGGTCGGGGGATTCCCGGGGGCTGCTCCCCACCGCGGAAACACGGGCAGCACGGAGGGAGGCCCGGGGACGGCTTGCCGGGAGCATACGAGGGGTGCGGGGAGGGTGTGTGCCACTATCAAAGCTGGAAGAGACCTCTAGGGTCATCCAGGCCTACCGTGCATGCAACACTGCTAGTCTAATCCCTAAACCAGGGCACCCAGCGCTAGGTCCGGACGCCTCTTAAACAGCTCCGGGGATGGTGACTCCCCTGCCTCCCTGCACAGCCGCTTCCAGTGCGTGGCCACAGGAACAGTGAAAAAAGGGATAGAATCCTGCATTGAGCTGCTCGCCCCACTGCCACGTTATGCCTCTCGCATCTAGCATATCCTTCTGAGGCGTGCTCACATCTGTCCACATCTGTCTGCATCCCTGTCAGGACACAGCACCTGCACTGGGTTACAGCCCTGCTTCTCTTGTTCCCTGCAGGATAATCCCGGTGAGATGGAGCCGCTACAACCCCAGCTATCTGGAACCAGAAGTGAAAAAGGAATTGTATCAGAAACCTTCAGAGGAGCTGACTGAGGAGGAAAGGGAACAAATGGAGCTTAAGGTTGTTCGACCCATCAAAGCTGCTCCTCCCGCTCTCTCCAGTTCCGTGTTCAGTGACCCCATGATCAGGTCAGAGAAAGCAACAGCTCCTCCTGTCTCCAAAAATGCCTGGGAACTGTGCTGCCCTCTTCTACCTTCACCTTCTGGCTGCACATTGCCTTTTGTTACAGCACAGTCCCCATATTCTGGGTTAATCTTTTCCCATCAACGAGTCCATTGTCCTGCAGTGATTTCTGATAATTACAGCAGATCTGGCAGCACCCAGAATACCCAACTTAAACCATGGGAACAACACAAAGGGATGGGGGTGGGAGGCTTAGTTCTGTGTGTGATAAAATCAGAATTCATATCAGATTCTATCTGACTTTGTGTTTACAGTAAATTCACCAATATGATGATGAAAAGTGGAAATAAAGTGTTGGCCAGAAGCCTCATGTCTCAGGTAAGAACTCATGTTTCTTCTCACTATTACGTTAAAACTAGCTAAAATGGAAGGCTGGGATGTCAAACACACTGAAATTGGGAATTACCAGAACTCAGTTAGTCCATCTCTGTGGTCCTGGTGTGTTTTGCTGTGCCACATGTTGCTCGCAGCATGACTCTGATAAACCATGATTTGTTTGATAAAATGTACATTACCCCAGCCTCCTTAGCTCAAAGACCAGCAGCTTTTCTTTCCATCCTTCAGCATTCCTGTGTCCTTTTGGACAAATGCAGAAAATACCCTTAAAAAGCATAATTTTCTCTAAAGATCACCTTTGCAGCTCTCTGGCATTCCTTACCCTCTGTATAACTTGCCCTTGAAGTCCTACATATGTGTCACCTACATGACACAGCTTTGAGCCTGCTCTAACCCACAGCAACTGGTATTAACTGGTGGTCCCATCTGATCTGTTCCATCCTTGAAATCTCTTGAAATGGGAACACATTTTGCCCAAAATTTCCCAATTAACTGCTGATTCCTTGTTACAGAAAAGCACACGGGCTCTGGAGTCCAGGCTTTGCAGGGGAGGATGCTCAGTGCACAGACCCCTATTCCTGGTTCCACTTTCTCCCTTCCCTTCCCTGGCTTCTGGCACAGGTTTGTGCTGCTCATCTCCCCCACCCAAAGTGCAATGACTGATAAAAGAAACTGAAGAGCTGGAAGAGGGTGAAGTAAAACTGAGTTAAAGAATTTCCAATGGGTCTTTTGCCTCTGGGGCTGGAGGAACAGCTGCTCAGGTGAAAATGGGGTGCCTGTAAAAGGGATATAACCTCATGGAGTGGGAGAGTCCATCTGCTCTGTATGTCTTCTTTCTTGCCTTTCTTCCAAGACTCTGGAGACCATTAAAAGGAAGCAGCTGGAGAAGTACCACAAAGCTCCAGAAAATGAGAAGGAGACAATTGAATGCAACCCCTATGTCATTTTCCACCAGGCTCTCAAGAACTGCCAGCCCATCATTGGGCTCAGCAACATCACCAAAGGAGGCAAAACCTACCAGGTGAAAAGGGGGCCTGGGAGCACATCTGGTTGGGAGACAATTAGCTAGGGAGGCTACCCAAACTCTTGGGGCAGGTCAGTGTGGCAAAATGGGTCACATAGATCCAGTGGGAACCCTTGGGGCCTGAAGGAGGTGAGATGTGGAGGTATTTGGAGTGAGATGACCTTTAAGTTCTTTTCAACCCAAACCATGCTGTGATTCTGTGACTTCCCTGTATTCAGTGCAGAGATGGGATGACCATCTACCTTCTCTGCTAACCCAAACCAGCCTGGACCCAGCTCCTGAACAGGCCAGAATTTCCTTTTTGGTAGCAGTGGCTACTTCCTACGGACAGAGCAGGAGAACTGGCAGGGCTCAGCTGTTGGCAGCGGGTCTGGCTGCAGAGAGCAGCACAGTGAACATCTGCAGGTGCCAGCTGGTGCTGTGATGCTGCTGGGGAGGAGCAGGTTGCTGATAACTGCCGTGGTTTAACCCTTTCCCAGGTGCCTGTCCCACTGACAGACAATCGGAAGCGCTTCCTGGCCATGAAGTGGTTGATCACAGAGTGCAGGGAGAACAAGCACCGCCGGACGATGATGCCAGAAAAGCTCTCCCAGGAGCTGCTCCTAGCCTTCAACAATGAGGGGCCTGTCATCAAGAAGAAGCATGTCCTGCACAAGATGGCAGAGGCCAACCGGGCGTATGCCCACTTCCGCTGGTGGTAGGGACTCTGCATGGGACACACTGTCATGGCCTGGAGAGCAGAGCCCCAGGGCTGCCAGCCTGGGAGAGGGAAAGGTGGAATATGCAGGCAGCTTCTGATCTAACCCAGGGAAAGCTCACACGATCCCCACGAGGTTCTTTTTCTTTGTGCTTGTTTGGATGGGGGAAGGGGGAATCAGAGTTACCAGCCCCAGCAGGGCTGCTCCAGTTATTTCATAATCACCTCCTTGTGAAGACAAGCCTTAGATGTTTTTCTTACAGCAATGCTAAACAACACCATCTTTCACTAATCTTTTTCCTGGGGATCTGAAAGTCTCCATTGCTCAAATCAGCAATGTTTGTGCTGCAGAGTTGGATCCTCTTCCACAGGGATTGGTACAACAGGCAATAAAAGGCGATTTTTGGTTTTGGTCATCAGTAACGTGGTCTGCACAGATTTGATGGGAATGTTGACAAAATAAAACCAGTTTTATGGGAAAGGTTTCCTAATTCCAGACCTTTGTCTCTGTTGCTCCAGCTACCCTGGTTGTGTAAAGCTCTGAGATCCTAGACTGGAGCAGACACTGAGTTATCACAACCTTAGGGCTTCAGTTAGGAACAACCCTTCAGTATTGCTCAGAGCTCAGCAGCTGCACAGGGAGAAAGCAGGGCACGCTTTGGTGGAAAACTTTTATTAGAAAAAATCCTTCAATAGACTATTTTGTTTCTTCCTCACCCATTCTTATAAGAAATATACTGTAGCTGAAACTTGCACAATTCTGAGAAAAAAATGACAGTTACTGTAAAAAACCTATAAAACCCATTACTACATGTACTCAGGGACCTGTCTTGTTGCAGGCTGCCCCGTGACAGCCATACCTGGCTGTTGGAGAGGCTGTGTGCATGCAGGTGCAGCCAACGTGCTGGAAGGAGTCTGGGAAAAAAAAGCACTTGGTTGAGTTTGTGAGGCCATGATGTGTTCTGTGACCTGCCCCAGAGAACCAGGTACAACCTGAGCTGGGAGATTTCCCTGCTGCCTCCCACAGCTCTGCTGGCTTTGGGGTGAAGCAAAGTGTTCTCAGACTAAACTGTGCTTTCCTTAACACTCATAGAAAATGCTGGTGTGAGCTAGAAGCCTCTCAAGCCCTTTGCTGGCAGTAGCCCGCTATTAAGACAAAGTCAGTGGGAAAACTTTCTGGGTGAAGTGTGTCCTTCCCTCTGTTCTGAACCTCCAAAGTCAGACTAGGACCAGCTGCATCTGACAGTAGGTGCAGAGAGGCTCTAGCCAGTAGAAATCCTGTTTACAGGAAGTGCTAGAAAATTAATGTGAAAAATTCCAACTTGGTACGAAGCTTGCTGGTGAAGGTGCTGGGGACTCCTCTGCTGCAGGAGGTTAATCTGTCACTTCGCTGTAATAATATTTCTGGGCAGCATCCGTCATCTTCCAGTCAGCAGCCCGGAACTCAATGATCTCCAGCAGCAGGAGCTGGGACAGGGAGCTGAGCCCCTCCTGCAGAAGGAAGCCATCTCGGAGGAGGGAGAAGAGCTCGTCCATCCGCTGGGAATTCATCTTCTCCAGCTGCTCACCAATGCGGTGGAGCTGCAGGACCAAGCAGTCCACCTTCAGAAGGAAGAGCAGATGGCTGAGCACAAAGAAATGGAGGTTCCTCTGCACCCCCTGGGCTGTGCTTTTTACAGGTCCTTGGCAGGACAGCAGGCACATCAGCAGCTCTTCCCTGCACTCACCTCCTCCTCCTTCTGCAGGCTGTCGGGCTGTGCCAGCCTGAACAGGCAGTCATACACAGGGTTCACCAGAGCCATCATGGGCATATTGTTCACCTGCAAGGAGAGTGGAGCACTGTCAGCCTGGGGCCAGAAGAGAGTCTGCAGCTATTTTACATAGTTATTCCCTTGCTGCTCTCCAAAGAAGAAGGGAGCAGTATTTACTTGTGCTGTATTAGTGGGATTTACATCAGAGTTCAGACATTTGAGTCTCCAGGAACCAGAGGAGCTGAACAAATGATGTAAAAAAAAAAATCTATTTTTAAATTTAAGCAGGTAGCCATGGGAAATACACTTGTTTCAACAGTATTTTTCCTGCCTGAAGCTCTACTTGCACCATTTTTACATCTACTCCAAACAGGAATTCAAAGTTTATACACTGCACAAAGGCCTGAAGCCAAATTCTATTAGCAAACCTCACAGCAACTAAACCAGTCCAGTCTGGGACATCTTGGAGCAGGCAAATCAAGGGATTTCAGACACCAGGTACAAAATGGGGAAGTTGAGACTTTGTGACTGTTCCTGAAGACTTCCTCTGCCTCACCAGCCCTGTCAGCATCCTTGTGCTAAGAACCAGCTGTGGCCCCCATGGCCCTGGGGCTCTGTACAACACCCACCCAACACGCCTGCTCGGGTATCCTGGGATGGCCAGGCCCTTCTGGCACTCCAAGCAGCAGCAGCTGGCTGCTCCTGCTCCAGCTCCTCACCCTCAGGTAGTCAAAGATGTTGCAGATGAAGGTGACGTAACAGATCCAGGCCTGGAGTGAGCGGGTGCGCAGCTCCTCCCTGTCCTTGTACTCCTGCTGCAGCCGGTTCAGCAGGCTCCTCCGGAAGATGCTCTGGCCAACTTGTTTGCTCTCTGCCTATAAGCCAAGAAAAACAGGATGGAGGGATGAAATGGGGTGACATGGAAGCTGGGGGATGCAGTACCACACAGATGGGATCCTGTGATTCCCAGAGAGGTAGAAAAGCTGCAACTTGCTGCCTGTGCTGGCCCACTGCTCTTCTGGATGCTGCCACTCTATGGGGAAAGGAGTCAGAGAACGTGGCTGGGGCAAAGCCCTTCCTGGCCCAGCCCAGGGACAACCCACAAAAGAGCCCAAGTGTTTCACTGTCCAGACACAAGCTCTCACCTGGATGATGGTGTAGCAGATGCGCCCAGCCTCCTTGCTGAACACAGAGTCCTTGAGGGACTGGTCCACTATAATATTGGCCACTTTCTCCAGGTCCACATTACTGGGATCTGCAGAGAAGAGGAATACTGTCAGGACCCAACCCTCTTTGGCCCCTGATTGCTTTGAAGCACCTGGAAAACAACCAAGGTCTTTGCAGGGCCCTGTACAGTTCCATTAAATGGTGCAGAAACCCTGCGTGGCAGAGGAGCTCATAAAAACCTGCTGACCTTTGAGGGCTGTTTTCAGCAGCTTCTGAGTCTCGGAGTCGAAGGACTGTATTTTGTACTCTTCTTTCCCCGTTTCCCCCATGACTATTTTCCTCCAAGGGCAAGAGTCAGGGCAATGGATGAGCTAGTGACAGTCCCTGGGGAAGGAGCACACAGAGCTTAGTCGGACAGAGGCAAACCTTCACCCATTTGCCATTCTGCACATTCCAGGTAGTGTTGAAGCAGAAGCTGTTTCCTGACAGCTCCCCACCCCAAGGAAACTCCTCTTTTTATTAGGGCACCAACTCCACCCCTGGATTCCCACATCTTTTAAATCTTTGTCTCCTACCAGCTGATAATACAACTTCAGAGCCTTTATATCTTTCTGATATATTACAGGCAAAGCAGATCCAAAATACACACAAAATATATGTGGCTATATCACAGGAAGGCACACACTGCTCCCTTGAGCCTTTTAAACACCAATTCAGTAGCTTTCATACAAAAATCTGGTAAGAATCAAAGCAAATACAAAAGCATCCAACACACGCTCACCGGAGCACCTCTCCTGCACCAGAGCCAGCCTCCCCCAGCTCCCAGCACGACACAGCAAACTCAGCAGCCAGATCCCCAACAGCAACAGCTCCCATCTCTCACATCTCTCTGCAGTCAAGCATTGCTCTGCAGCACCAGCAGTGCTCCTAACTAGTCTCTAGTTTGGTTTTCTTCTGCTTCACAATCCAGTGAAGACAGCAGCAGTGTATGCACGGCACAGAGAGGAAGGGCTTGCTTTGACTCACACAGGATCTGCTGGATGGAAATGCAGGGCTGGCTAGACCGGCAGCGCGAACAGGAGAAGGCAGTCGGCCAAATGAGTTTTGCCAGCTCGTCAAAATTCCTCGGCCATTACTCACCCCTCTCTGCAAACAGGATGAAAGCCCAAGAGCCTTTAGGGGCACGGGACAGGTACCGTGGGCAGTTCCCTCCCATACAGAGCAGTGACTCAGAGCAGAGAGCAGCCCCATGGGGGTGACAGCCTGCCGACGCTGCTCTCGCAGCCGAAGCTCTCGCCCTGGCACTGGCACAGAGGTTTCTTTCCCAGGTGGATTCACAGGCAGCTGGCTGCTCTCCGTGCCGTGCCTGGCTGGCAAACACCCTCCTAGCCGACTTCTCCTCTCTCTCCATCTGCACTCACGCCACGCTGCCAGTGGAGCAGACCGAGATCAGCAGCAGCCCCGTGTGGCAGCGGCAGCATCTCCACACAGCAGGAGCCTGGCGAGAGCACGGCGCCTCACGGAGCCCGGCCGGCAGCGCCCGGCTCCTCTCCCGGAGCTGCCGTTCCACGGCTCCCTGCGACGGCCACGGCCGCTTTGAACTGCGGTGCCCAATAGCTCTGCACAGAGCAAACCACAGCGTGCCAACACCGAGCCAGCCAGTGCGCCTGCACTAGAGACCCTCCTGCCAGCACCACCTTATCCGGAAGGGCTGGTGGCAGTGGGTGACACGGGACACCTGTGGGCACCGACTGCTACTCTGCCACTGGCCCCTGCAGGACGAGCGGTCCCGAGGGCTGGCACGGTTGGGGTCAGCACCCTCAATCCGCCGGTGGTTCACCAGCTCAGGTGCCGGGACACCTGTGACCTACAGGGTCACGCCTGGCAGTACGGACATGTCCTGGCCGCTACAAGAAGAGGGAGAAGAGCAGAGTCTCCTCTGCCACCCCACAGTGTCCACCCCAGGGGCTCTGTGAGCCCCCGGACCCCCAT